GGTCTAGGCCCGAAACGTCAGCCTTCCTGCTCCTCTGATGCTGTTTGGCCTGCTGTGTTCATCCAGCTCTACACCTTGTTAGCAAAGAAATTACTTTCTGTCTGCAGAGATTCACTTTTTTAGGAAAAGCACTTTCTGGCCGACAGTTGTTATTCTTTAAGGACAAAAGGGTTAGGCATAGATGCTCTGAAATCTGTCAATCTGGTGTTCTACTGGGTGTGGCTATCACCAATCATGCACCTTTTGTCTCTGGGGTCTTGGCCAAAGGTACAACGTTCTCAAGAAATACAACATTGACCACAATTCTTTCAGTCACACTTCCTAAAGAACAATCAGAAACAGAAGAACAAGTTGAGTGAAGGCTTTCTCCAAATAAAAATCCAAGCCAAACTCCAAACCTGCAAACACATTTCAGAGCAGCCATAACCCCAGTGGTAAAACAGTCAGGTCTCTTTATCGAAGTGTGTTTAAGAAACCAAAACTAGCAATTATCTGGAGTTGTATATTTCTAGGAAATACCTGATTTTTTAAAAATTCACTCACAGGATGTGGGTATCACTGGTTAGGACAGCATCTATTGTTCATCCCTAATTGCCCAGAGGACAGTTAAGAGTCAACTACATTGTTGTGAGTCTAGAGTCACATGTAGGCCAGACCAGGTAAGGACAGCAATTTTCTTTCCTAAAGGACATTTGTGAACCAGATGAGTTTTACAACAATCAACAATGGTCATCGTTAGACTCTTAATTCCAGCTTTTTTTTATTGAATTCAAATTCTAACTTCTACTGTGGTGGGATTTGAACCTGAGCCCCAGAAAATTTCCTGGGTCTCTGGATTAACAGTCTAGCACTAATACAACGAGGCTATTGCCTCTCCCATTTAAAAAAAAATCCAATTTGTCTTCACGTTGACTTGAATCAAAATAATCGAGGCATCTGCACAATCCTTCAACCTTAAGTCCACAAAAAATTGCATATGAATTGTCATCATACAGCTGCCTCTACCTTCATAGCTGGCACAGAGTTATCTGGGCAGGAGAGCACAGCAGTAATTTTTCATGCAGCCGTCATCAGATTCAATTGTTGCCTCTTTAGCGCAGCACTCAGTTTTAATTCACATCTTCTCATAAATA